ACAGAATGACCAACCAACTTCTTGCAATAAATTTATCACACTGCAATGCACATAGTAGTCAGAGCAGCAATTTCACGATTGAAGCCCTGAAAAAAAGAACAATGGTTAATGGTGATCATTATCAGTATCATCCAAAAATAATAACATCACATCCAGTATCCACGCATTCAGAATGCATTCACGACTGATGAACTGATGATAAGGAGGGAACAACGCTGCAAACTGCTGCTCATGCTCCATCACCACCACCTGTCGTCCTGCACAATCAATTGTTGCGACCAGGCCAGGAATCTATCAAGTTCATCAGCCATCAGCAAAGGCACAACAACCCAACACAAACTATTCTCCCAATGGCCCATTGACTCCATTGACCATTGACAAATACACTTGCTTCTTCAACAGTACGTCAGCTCTTCAATAGTTCCCGTTCCCCTTCAAGCAAACAATCTCACAGGTCAAAGACTATTACTAGCTAGCCCATCCTTCAGCTGCTGAGATCACCACCATTTCCCCGATGTAGTGACCCCAACTGCCTTGAGCACAGTCAAGACGCACTGAAACCAAAAACTTAAGAAAAGAAGAGCGAAAACAAACGCAACTCAGCTCACATAAAGTCCGAGCAGCCAGATTTTAACATATGTCACATATGTTCATCTACTGTTTACTCTGTGTGTGTGTTAGTATTGCCAGCTCTTGCAGCTTCCAACATTCGAACACTCTTTGGCTGTTGGATTGCCTAGACTCAGGAGCCTAGGCCTAAGCGTGCGCAAAGCTTCTGATTCTAAGCTTCTTTACTGTACAAGCAGCGCTGCACTGCAGATCTTGTAATTGTATCAGGCAGTACCAAGCTAGCTAAGCTACGACCAGAAGTCTTTTGGAACTAAGAACCCTTTGGGCAGCAAGGGGCATAAGGCTGAGGCTATTCAAATTGCCACTCACAAGTGCGAGATCCCACATTCACACCCAGCGTGCAGCAATGTCCTCCAGCCAGCTGCCACTAAGCCTATGTAGGTCTGCGGGTCACGAGTCACAATGATTGGTGCGGTGGCTGTGCGCCGCAAAGATTGAATCAACAAAGCCTTTGACCAATCCCCTTACCTGTGACTCTAAGCCATCAGACGGCCAGCTTTCATTTTGCGTCTCCCTACAGGCTGCCCTCACACATGCATCCCAGCCTGGTTGCATGGTAATTGCTTTGCCCAAAGAAGGTGGGCTCTCCTGGTTTGCCATTCCCTGAGTGTCTTCACACTGTAGGCAAGGTGCTTCACCAGCAGAGCGGCCACATGGACTGACTCGGCGATCCGGGGTTTTCGTTCCCCCTCCTGATTTCACATGCACCCTTGTTCTTTTGCGGTCATCACTACCACCATGATCACCACCACGATCACTGTCAGAGGCAGGGGAATCAAACTCACCCTTGTCGAACTTCTTGGCCTTTCGCCGTTTGTGTTTCTTTTTGGACTTGTCTTTGATTCGATGATCCCGACAGTCTGAAGGAGAAGAATCCCGACAATCACCAGCGGGAACACTGGGAGAAGGGTGAGGCCGCCCATGAAAATGAACATGACTTGTGATGGTGATCTCAACATGTGCGGAGTCATGGAAGTTGAAAATAGATCCACCACTTGCGAACTGGCACTTGTCATTGAAACCAGAGGCGCAATTCGTCTGCCGTTTGACCTCTGAATCATCCACCTCAACCCCCCTGCATGATGCGATTCGAAGATCAGAAAGCGGATCTGTCGCCATGTGGATATGACTGACAATAGCAGGGCCTCACTATCAACACTGCCACTGCTCTAGCAGTCAGAAGGCAAATAGCTAGCGATCTGAGCCGGAATCAAAAATGTCAACTCATGCGTTCACTTACCATCATTTGAACCGACTCTGACTCATGGAGCTGGAGCCCGCCTCAAAAACAAGGAGAAAAGCTGCAGCTGCGCGTTGGAACTGCACTTGGCAACCTGAGCAGAGAGGGGCGCAAAGGAAGTGGTGCCAAGTTGTTCTGTCCCTGTCCCTCTGTCACAGGCTTTGATTCGGAAAGGACTCTCATCTCTAAGTTAAGTATAGTATTCAACAGTTCAACATTTCTGGTATTTGACATCAACTCAAATCTCGGATCTTCCAAAGAGGTTAGTGCAGTCTCCTACAATGCCTCAAATAAAGAGAGCATGGGAACCTGAACATTTCCAATCTCCCCCTGCCCTCTTCTGACCTAAGGATAAGGCCCCAAGTCCAGCAGCAAGCTGCTGGAAATAACCCAAGTCTGAATTCCTTCAGGTGGCGATAACATATTCAAGACTACTTTTGCCAATGTAGTAAGTCAACGGTGTGCAGCGCAGAAGCACAGAAACCCTTGAAACTTGAAACTGAAACCTATCCATCCAGTAAATTAATTCCAAAAGCAGTGTGACTGTGACCTTTAGCCTTTCTGCCTGTCCTCAGCTTTGCTAGGCTAGGCTGAACCGCTGCGATCACCGCAGGATGATGATGAACATGAAGAAGGTTCCGAAGATGAAGCAAGCCTTTCTGTCCATTTGCTGCACAATCTGCAAAGCCTCATCTTATCTTATTGGAAGCAGTGGCGAATCAGCAGGACTAGCTTCCATTTGACCAACCTACTGCATGTCGTTCAAACCAGGTCAGGTCAGGTCAAGTGAATGATCAGAAAAGATCATATCATATATATATATAACTAGACTATGGCTATAACTATATATAACTATATACAACTATAGTTGGATTGCCCCCATCCAAAGAAGAAAGGAGCGGCACACTGCACATAGATCGGCCTGCTGCTATTAGGTTGGTTTTTTGTTAACTCGACTAAACTATACCCCTTCTATACCGATGCTGTTGCTGGTACTGGTGCTGCAATGCTGCATGCTGAGCGCCAAACGCCACGTCTAGCGTACCCCAACCACCATCGTCACCGTGAAAGATTTGACAGCAGACAAACGCACATGTTGTCCACATGTGGGCCGCGTGCCCAGCGCAAAATCATAGCTCGTGTGTCAAGGGCCACCAGCCACTGACGGTTTAACTGCCGCTTGTGGGACTTGGTCACGGGTCACGGTCACAGTGGTCACATCACACGGTCCGGGGCGTTCCAAAAAAAGAGTTGGTGATAAACACACTGACAGCCTGACAGCGGCAGCTGTCCAGTGACAGTGACGATTGCAGTTGCAAGTTTTCAAGGCTGTCCCATTGCAATCAATAAATCAAACAGGCTGGCAAAACACCATGTTTCAGAGAGAGGCCACGAAAGAAAACCCAGAGGCAAAAGCCTCCCACGGGCCAAATTACACCGTCACAAAGTAGGAAAACATGTAACAGACTAGATGTCACTATGAACCGAAAGGGTCTAGAAAACAGCCACAACAGCAAGCTTAGGAGAAACATATTTTTATTTGCATTGCATGGGCATGGGCCTATGGGGAATGCTTAGTTCGCTTCGTGGTTGAACCAAGGTTGCAATCACAACGTATCATCATATCACAACATTAACATTAACCAACGCCAACGCCGCAACGCCGTCTTGATCATACAAGACACAACATGGGCCCGACATGGGAAAACTAACAGTCCAACGGTGCTATATTGCCTACGTAGCTAGCTGGTAGCACTAAGCCACTAGGTATCCATAGCAGCAGGGCAATGAAGAGCAGCAGGAGTATCACTCTCAGTCTCTGTCTCGAGTCAACATTATAACGTTGAGTCGCAGTCACTAGCGGCCGCGTCATAAAGAAACTTTAGTTTGAGACAATAATCTTGTTATCCACCAGAAACGAATCACCATAAATCCTTTGAGGGCGATGTGACGCGATGCTGGTGGAATGGTATGCTCAGTGGATGACGAGGACAGCAATGCAACAATGGAGGAGGAACATGATTCACATGATGCATCAACCACATGACAACTTGACAAATTGACAACAAAGACACTTTTGCAGACAGTCATGGCCTATGGCTAATTACTGTGTGGGCGGGTGAGTCGGTGGGTCAACGAGTCATAGTCGGTGGTGTCACTTACTATAGCAAACAGCAAAGCAACAACAAGACTACAGAAGGAATAAGGAAGCATGCAATGGACGAAGCAAAAGAAACCATTGATTTGCATAATGCAATGCACAGCACCTATGGAATGTCAAATGTCTCAAACATATAATAAGGAAACAACAACAACAACAACAACAACAACAACTTCTTAGCTTTTTGA